GTTACAGATCTCCATGTGATTGTGTCCGGAAATCATCACGAGATGGGTGAGTTTTTTGTTTTTGATTCTCTTACCCCTCAGCTTATTTATATTTATTTTTGGTTTTCCCTGGCTCTGCAATCATAATCCTGTGTTCAACTGGAAAGAAAGGAGAATAGAAAGTTGGAGTTCTCACTGTCTTGAAGTGTGTTTAAAATCGGCTGTTACCACCTCCGTTAAAGGGGAGGAACCTCCTGTTGAGGAGATTGATTTGTCTAAGGTACCCAAGGCCTACCATGACCTTCCACCAGTTTTTAGTAAAGACAGAACTTTATCCTTACCACCACACCGACCGTATGATTGTTCTATTGAACTCGTTCCTGGTGCCCCCTTACCTTCYAGYCGTTTGTATAATCTTTCTGGCCCAGAAAGGGAATCCATGAGAGAATACATTGAGGACTCGTTAGCCTCCGGCATTATAAGACCATCTACATCACCCTTAGGAGCAGGCTTTTTTTTGTAGCCAAAAAAGACAAGACTTTGAGACCCTGTATTGATTATAGGGGGTTGAATCAAATATCTGTGAAAAATAAGTATCCACTACCCCTCATTGACTCAGTTTATGATCAGCTCCACTCTGCCACAATATTTACCAAACTTGATCTTAGAAACGCTTATCAMCTGGTCCGCATTAAGGAAGGTGATGAGTGGAAAACCGCATTTAAGACTCCTCTTGGTCACTTCGAATATTTAGTCATGCCTTTTGGACTAACAAACGCCCCCGCTGTGTTTCAAGCTCTGATAAATGACGTCTTGAGGGATTTTCTCAATGACTTTGTTTTTGTCTACCTCGACGATATCCTCATTTTTTCCCGTGACCAAAAACAACATGAAACACATGTAAAAGCAGTTCTTCAACGCCTGTATGAAAACAAACTTTTTGTCAAAGCCGAGAAATGTGAGTTTAACGTGACCTCAGTTTCATTCTTAGGCTTCATCTTGGAAAAAGGGCAATTTCGTACGGATCCAGAGAAGGTCAAAGCTGTGACTGAGTGGCCAGTTCCTAAGGACCGGAAGCAGTTACAACGTTTCTTGGGCTTCGCCAACTTCTACAGACGATTCATCAAGGACTACAGCAGAATTGCTGCCCCACTTACCAAAATGACATCCACTCTAAGAACTTTCACCTGGACTCCTGAGGCTAATAACGCGTTTGGTGAGAGGCTCGTTTCTCGCAGGCCCCCATCCTTTGCCACCCCGATCCCAAGAAACAGTTCTTTGTGGAGGTTGATGCCTCCGATCTCGGGGTTGGTGCCGTTCTCTCTCAGAGATCCGGATGTGATGACAAACTGCATCCATGTGCTTTTTTTTCTCGACGTCTGTCACCTGCTGAATCCAACTATGATGTGGGGAACCGAGAGT